GGGACTGTTTGCATTTCCTTGTACATTGTATAGCAGAGTTTATTTAATGATGGGAGGTGGGCGCGTGCACCGCAGCGGAGCCGGTTCCGGTGCCCACGGCCGGAGCGTGCCCGGCCCCAAGCCTGCAGAACACGGGGAGGGATGGGACCCCACGGACCGCAGCCTTCGGTGACACAAACCAGGAGAACGGTGCCTCTTCCAGCTGAGTTTTCTCCGAGCTGCTCTGTGTAAGCAACGACGGCAAACCAAGTCTCTGTTCGGTTTGTGCTTTGAGTTGGAAACCGTAACGGTTCGGGCTTTTCCCCAGCATCTTCCCACAACGCTGTTCATTCTGGCTGAGATAAACCATGCACAAAGTCCTGCTGTGCCTGTGCTTGCCTGTCACCCCCATACCGTGGGGACAAGTCCCCTGGTCACCAGCACCTCCTTAGAAAGCGTAAGGCTTGTGCTGCTCAGACCTCTGAGCCCTCTCGCCGGCGTGGGGAAGTGCCGTCCCGGTGGCAGCATCCCCGGGGGAGCTGCTGGGGTAAACCCGGGTTTGCTGCATCCACGTCCTCTCTGGAGCCCCATCTCCCTCCCGTTGAGCCCCCAACCCATACGGGGTTCCTGGACTCCCCTTGCTCCCATCCCAAGGCTTGCTAGTGAGAGTATCTACAGAGCTTTGCTTTTCAAAGACCATAGGAAATCACGGGCGGTTCACGGTGGAGGCTGCTGGGAAGTGGTTTATGCGGGATAGCAGAGATATAAGGATGGGTTCCCCCCAAAAGAAGGATGCTTGGGGGTCTAGTGCCACACTGGGGGGGGGTCACCCCGGAGCTTGTGCTCTGGTGGCCTCACCAGCCAGGCAGGGCTGAGCTGAGAAGGGCGGTGGGTGCTGGCTGCGGCTGGCAAGAGGGGCTGCAGGGATTAACGTGGGAAGGGGAACAAGTTCCCCCTCTGCCCCGTCGCGGTGAGGTCTGCTGAAGCCCCGTGTGCCATGGGGTGCTGGGCATCCCCTCCTGTTCACCTCCAGCCAACACCCCTGCATCACCCCGGGGAGACGCAGCCCCAACCAAGCCAGAAATTGTCCTCACAGGAGAGTTCTCGCCACCCGCGCACTCCCGGCTCTGCAGAGCCCTAAAGCCCGCGTGTACCGGGTTAGACACGCGCACACACGTGTACCCACGCACGCATCCAGCCAGCCACTCGCTCCCTCGCACATCTCGTTTCTCAGCCCCGTCTGCGCACGCCCGAGCAGCCCTCCAGCACCGGAGGCTGCGCGAGCGCCTGGCCACGACTCGGGCCG